TTCCAACGGAGGGGGGGGGGAAACCCCGCAACGATCATTAAAAGAGAGTTATAAAATAGCAAATATAGTGTTTATCTTATCTCAGATCAGTCCACATTACCAATAAGTTTAGCAGTTTCTGCACTACCACCTCCCCCCCTCCCTCCCCCTCCTTCTCGAGCATCGGATTTTCACGTTTTCTCATTGTCGGTTGAGTTATAAAAGGCTTTTGCCCTTCGAAAGTTTTAAAAAATAAATAAATATTAACTCCTTGGTCCCTGCAAAGTCAAAATGGGCTTCAGGGGAAAGGCGGTTCATCCTTCTACCTTGAGCGAGAAAAGGGGGAGCATCCCGGATTTTTTGGGATTTTTTTGCGATTTTTAAAAAATTTTTATTTGGTTATATGCCTGAGTTCTCCCTCCATTTTGGTTGTTTATGATACTGACAACAAGCTGTCCCTGCTCTGTGCAGATCTCCTGCTTTCATTTACCACCCCTCCTCCCGCAGGCACACACCCCGGGCTCACACCTCCTCGTAGACCCCGCACCCCGACCCCGACTCGCCCACCTGAGGAAAGGGCAAAAACAAATCCGTTTCTCCAAAAAAGAAAAACCTCTTTTGAAAAAGGGGCAAAGTTCCCCCAAGTCACTCAAAGTGCCCCCCAAATATTGCCGACTGCGGGTTTCCGCCAGGCCCTTTGGGAAGCGACCTTCCCCCGGGATGTTTTGGTGGAAAATGCGGAGAGTTTACTCGTAAAACTGAATTTATATTAATTTTTCCCTTATTTTTCGGGTCTCTAATGTCTTCCGCTCTCGCTGCTGCCGCTGCCGCTGTCACAATATTCACAGCACCAGAGCGGAGGAGGAGGAGGAAAACTTTTCAAACTTTCCAGACCCTGAAGAAAGGGTTTTTTTTTTTCCCACCGACCTCACCTTCGGGTCTCCAGCCGCATCGCCCCCTGCCCTGTCAGCAGCGACTCCGGGAGTCCTCGCACCCCCGCTGAATGATTTTATTTTATTTTTTATTATTATTTTTCTCTCTGGGGTCCTGAGCAGGGGCTGAGAGTAGCACAAACTTTTCCTCCTCCTGCCGCCGCCGCGGCTCCTCTGCCCCCTCGGCGAGTCCCATAATTTAAATAACCCTGATATTTCTCCCGCTAAACGCCTCTCCGCCGCCCCGGACCCCGGGAGAACTCACCGCGGGGCTTTAACATCCTCCCTCCGGCCCGTCCGCCGCCTTTACACCGCCCGCGGAATTTCTAATAATTTTTTTCTCATATTTCGGGCTGGACGCGGCGGGCCTGGAAATTGTTTCCTTACGCCTCTTTCCAGCAGCCATTGTAGTGTATGCGCTGCCCCTGCAGCCCAACTTGCAGCTGCCGCCGCCGCCGCCGCCGCCGCCGCCGCCGCCGCCGACGTCGCGCCCACCGCTGCC